AAGATATTCTAACGAAGAACGAGTCACTAATAATTCGGAGTAACCAAAAACTATGTTATTTAAGAAAGCATAAATGTGAACGACTGAAAATATGTGGCTAATTCCCACGCTTTTGGTTATTAGTAGAGTTGCACATGAAAGAGACAGTAACATTAGAAGCACATTAGCACTAAGCCTGTCATGCAATCGCACTCTTTTCACGCTATACTTCATCGTGCACGTCAGATTTTTGGTTAAGCATGACAAACACACCAACTAAACAACGGAAACTAAACTAGTTTGTAATTTATTGCAGACCAATTTAGTCCTAAAAGCTGAAATACGAGAAGAAAGAAGGAGTGGAAGAACAAATCAAGCAATTATACGTTAATGTTGTCACACAGTTGACGATGTCATTTTCGATCAGCTACGCCTTCGTGATATAATAGTACTGTAAAGCTGTTAAATCAGTGCATGATAAGACATCGGCTAAAGCATCGGTATAAAAACAAGGTATTATTATTCTGCGCATAACTTTAATCAGTTCGTATTATCATCTTCATCTTATTTTTGTTTCTTTATTTTTACATAGCAGTTTTCGTAAGGACGGGAAGCTATGAGAGTTATAGAACTTATTACATGGTGTGGTTGGCCTAAAGTGGTTTCCCTTTTTTTTTTTTTTTTTTTGTGCGTTTCATTTAAACAAGGGCTCAAGCCGTTAAACTAGCTTTGAGTTCTCCACCCTAGATAAACGGCACAGTCGGAAAAAAGTTAATATTCAAAAGGAGCTGTGTAGTGTTTTTCTTTTCTGTTCTCCTTTAAGTCAATATCACCTTTGTATGCATTCAATTCTCATCAAAACTTCAAGAGTTTTGCCTCAACGTGATCATTGGCAAGGTAAGAGACGCTCTTGTGATCTTCGGCTTTCATGATTTTAGCAGATTTATATTAGGCGACGTTTTTCCGATTCTCCTCTAAATGCGACACGACTCGCATTCATAATAAGATTTTAGCAAACAGATGTTCATTGATTAAGTATGTTTCTTTCAGCGTCAAAGCAATATTTTTAAAAATATTCTTTATCAAAAAACGCAGACAAGCTGATTTAATTTTCCAAAGCACCACTCGCATCCACGTAAAACGAAAATTCATCCTTCAAAATAAAATCAAAAACACCATACCACCTTTTTCACTTCTATAAATAAAATCCACCAGGATGTGCTCAATTTAGGAAATTAGTATTTGTCCTATTTCGTTTATCCCACTTAAGGTGGCTTCATATATTTTCGCGGGGCTTTAGAAGGTAAAACAACTAGAATTTTTTTTATAGCAGCGACTAGTAAATACCATAGCAGCGACACGTCAGCCACAAAACGGACCCTTTCTGCCATTAAAAACTTAAAATCTCGAGTTTCCCGTGGTCAATCTTTTTTAGATTGTGTAATACGAAGGTTTGTTTTGTTACGTATTATATGACTGCGTTTTATTGAAATCGTGACTACAAAAACCAAGATATTAAAGAAATATCGATTTTCAAAATAAAAAATTTTCTGTAGTCCAAATATTTTTCATATTGCGGTAGTTGCCTTATCATTCTACGAAGAAAAAATTGTAGAAATTTTAAAATGTTTGACCACGTAGTTTTCGAGTTGTTTTTTTTTTTAAATAACGCATTCCACCGACTTTTCGTGACGTCATGCTCTTATTAATTTACTGCATTTCATCACTTAGAGCCTCTTTTTTAAACCTTCATTTGAGTTGAAAGGGTTGGTACGTTTATTTTTGGGTAGTTAGAGCATTCGCAGTAAACGTCTTTAAGATGGTTTTAGCCCTTTATCCCTTTCAGTCAGTGAGAAATTCATGACCCTCCTATTAAGGCGCGATTACACGCAACAGTTTTCTCTGCAACTTGTCTCGTAAGAGCGTTGCGACACACGTTGCAAGAGTGTCTACACGGTGCAACGGAGACGTAATCGCTGCCAAAAGTAGAAACGAATTCTACTTTTTACAACGATTGCTGCAACTTGTCTATCAACATTTTACAAATTTCGCTGTAGGTTACACGCTGCAATGCTCCATGCGAACAAGTTGCAGAGAAAGTTGCTCCGTGTAATCGCGCCTTTAAATCATCAAGGAAACGAACTACCTATACTTAGTTTGCAATGAATAKAGTATCTCTTGCCAAGTGATGTCAATAGGAAATAAGAAATTTTCGCCAAGTCATGTACGAATGTGGTTCCCTTATCACATGGTTTCCTTTAACTAGGGGGCGAATGGGCCATTAATTACAACCAGCTAAGCTTCCTATAAGAGTAGTATTTCTTGCCAAGTGATGTCAATAAGATACGAGAAATTGTCGCCAAGTCATGTACGACTGTGGTTCCCTTATCACATGGTTTCCTTTAAATTAGGGGGCGAATGAGCCATTAATTACAACCAGCTAAGCTTTCAATAAAAGTAGTATCTCTTGCCAAGTGATGTCAATGGAATATTAAGAAACGTTTGCCGAGTCATGTACGACTGTGCTTTCATTATGACTGTATGGTTTCCTTTAACTAGGAGGTGAATGAGCCATTAACTACAACCAGTTAAGCTTGTTAATAACTGAATAGTATTTCTTGCCGAGTGATGTCAATGGGATATTATTAAGAAATTTTCGCCGAGTTATGTACGACTGTGCTTTCGTTATGACACGAGCGAGCCAAAGGGGTATTTGACTAATTAAGATCTTAAAGGCGGTTCAAATCAACCTACTYCCAATACAAGAGTGCTTTATATTGGCTGATATCAAGATATAAACTGAATTGAGTTGCAATTACGAGTATTTCAAAGACCGACTAAGGAACGTGGACATTGGGCATATAAGTCAGTCACCATCTTTTCGATAGAAATAGCTTTCACTATTTTTAATATATGTATATATCACTACGAGTCCCACTACGACAACGATCTACATATATTTAGCCGACAGCCGCAGGTATGTGTGTGACATATTTATTGATCACACAGTTATTGAAGAATGAAGTTCAATTTAGCGATATAATCGCCCGAAAAAGGTTATAAACATTTTAAAACGACAAAACAGCCGATGCATGCTTTTGTTTGGATTTAATTTGACAAAAAATGAAGGCCGAAAAAGCTGAACATCCGATTTGAAGTATTGTCATTTAGGACTTTAAAAACCCTTTTTTAGCTTATTGTCGTTTTATCGTATTGCTTTACTTCCCTCTAATGGCATGCCACATAGAGGGCATCAAAAATCTTATTAAATATGGAACTAAGCTCTGATTTCATTTTTTAGAACAAATTTCTAAAGGGTTCTTTTGGAGCAATACATATGACACAAGAATATCACGAATAAAAGACCTCGATTTAGCACCCAATGTGACACTTTCTGATTCAATATTTAAAAAATCCCAGATTGAAATATCGAAAGCCGTTATTACCAACTAAAACAGAAATAAAATATTCCATACAGTGAACATTGCATTCATTTAGCATTTGCCGGAAACGTGTTTTGAGCATAATTCCAATAATTCCAATAAAAATAGAAATGCATAAAATTAGTTTATCTAATGAAGAAAAAATGTTGGAGATAACATGTAATCCTGAGCCTTAGAGGTCAGTTAAAAGCGTCATGACAGACTGCCGGTAAAGTTGATAGCATTATATACTACTTCAAGTCAGCCTAGAAAACTTTGGTTCCACGGGCGGTTTTTCGATGAATAAAAGAAAATTTCAAAACGGGAAAGGAGTCTGACGGTAATGTCTAGCCGCTGTTGACAGGTTTCCTATGTCTAGTATTAAACCGCATATTCCATGTAGATGGCAGCCACTTTTCTAAGTGAATTTCCTGTCGAACTACTTTTAACAATCTTTCTCTTTGCAGATTACGAGGTAACATGAACAACACAACACTATCGACAACTCAAGGAAATGCTTACTCGGGCCTTTTCGCCTGGGCCACAGTATTTGGTGCTGTTGCAGTAGCCGTGGTGAGCGGTAACTCACTCATTATCTCCGCTTTTGCTGTAAATAAGAAACTTCTGCACACGCGTACCAACTACTTCCTGGTGAGCTTAGCACTGGCCGACTTGCTCGTGGGATCCTTTTCCATTCCAATGTATGTTTATGACATATTCGCATACCTGGAAAAGCGCAAGTCGTCTTTGCACAATATTTACTATGCGATAGACATTTTTACGAGCTTTGCTTCGATTTTCGCCTTGGTTTTGGTAGCAATGGAGCGGGCATTCTCTGTATATTTCCCTCACAAACACCGACTTCTTCAACGGAAAGTTTACTTCGTTCTGATTGGCTGCACGTGGATTATATCCAGTTGGCTAGCGTCGTTACGTTTCTTCAGTGGTCACAAARAGGACAAGAATCTATTGACAACATTCTCCTACTTGATGATGACCTTTATATTCTTTTCACTCACGTTAATAACAGCTGCATACACCGCAATATGGCGTCGAGTAAATGCCCCAAATCACTCTCTACACAAGTCTCGAACACTCCACGAGAGCCGACTYGCAAAAACGTTAATCATAGTAACTTGCGCGTTTTTCTTCTGTTGGCTCCCATTTTACATCATCAGCATTGTTATATTTTACTGTCAGTCATGTTATCATCTACAAGTAGTTTACTGCAGCAAACTGCTACATTACAGCAACTCCTTGGCGAATGTTCTCATATATACACTGAGAATTCGCGAGTTTAAGCACACAATTCTACGTATATTCTGTCGAGAACCTCGCATTTCTTTGCCTAAAATCCCAACACCGAGGTACGAGCTGGCGTTCGATGGTCACGCTTTCCATGAAATCAACACACCTAATGAAATACACCTACTACACATTAACGACGTCGAGTCGGCATCACCCAAAGAACAGGATTCTGGGAAGGTAGCTGATACTCCCCCTGAACTGTGCAAACCCAGCGGAGAGCAGAACGTAAAAAAGTACTGGACTTATATATAATCTTCTTTAGCAATGTCTAGTCTTCTTTCTAGCTACATGTAAATAAAAATTCTGGTTGTGTAAATAAATAGTGCGTATTACTCTAAGGACTACAAAATTCAAATCAGTTTTTATCACAAGATAATAAGTTCGAACAGTGAAACCAGGAATGGAATCAGGTTCAAGGGTTTGATCAAAGATGTACTACAAAGTTGGACAAACTTTACACAAAAATGGCTCCGTCAATAAAGAAATGGTGCTATCGCCTGAATTCTTCTCATTAAAAAGTACTCCGTGAATCGATGTAATTCTAACTGACTAGTTGGTCTACTCCTAGTACTCCCCTTCCACCTCCTCTCCCCCTCCCCAAAGTGCCACCTCGCGGGCTGGTCTACTCGTGTATCCCCTTTTTAGGAGGGTTAGAAAAGCATCAAATTTATCCCTCGTTTCCGCGCATGAGTAAAAACGAATAGGAATTTCAGTTTTTCCTACATTTTCCAGCTGACAAACCACTCCGCTAGCGCACCTTTACAAACTTACGCACTTATTAGAGCACCTTCGCACCTTTACAAAATTCAGTTACGAACTTACGACCTCCCTTGGTCGTTTCCATTTTTAATGAGCCTGCCATCAAAAATGAGCTTTTCCTATGATGAAGTACTGAAAACGTACATGTATATTTTCCTTTCGCTATCCCCCACTTGATTTGTGACCAGTAGGTCTTCTAAAAAGAAAGATCTTAGAGCTTACCTGTCCAATTGCGCTTGTGAGACTGAATGCAAGCATATAATACAAGACATGAGGGTATCTTTCACAAAATGATATAAACTGGAACAGCTCGCCTGTTGTTACTATGCCTGGAATTTAAAAAAAAAACACAAAGTTCATGGTTAGATAGTTAGCAAATTTTACCAAGCCCAACGTTTTGTCTCTTGGTTTTCAACACTTCTTTCCACTTATCGCGTCTTGATATATCACCTCTCACTTCTATCAGAATCCTCTTCAAATCAACTTTCTTATTTAAACGTTTCGACCATTTTACCTTTTCTTTTTTTTTTTTTTTTTTTTTTGTATTCATACAAAATAAGTGGGAAAGACTTGCATGAGTGAGCCATGTAGATTCATTGGGTAATGCTCGTTAAATAACTGGAGTTGAGGGCGGGAAGTAACAGGAGGGCCACAAACCAATGCCAGAGGCATTCAAAGGGGAACAGAAAATTGTTTTCAAATCTTCAATTAGCTGAAGCAAACAAGCACTTACTGAATCCAAGTATTCCAATGGACCAAAGGTTCATATTGAACATCATATGATGTGATTGTACGTGATATTCAGCTCTCATACGATCCTGTATTGCACCTGTTAGACCATCAAAGGTAAGTGATAACAGCTGCAAAACAATGGACCCTGATGGTTAGATTTATAGATACAGAAATCCACAAAAGCTAAAGAAAAAATTAGGGGTTAAACAAATGTCAACTTGTGTGACCCAACTTAAGAGGTTTTGCACCATCATGTGACCACGCCCATAAAACAGCTTGGGCTGCCGGTGGTTGAATGGGAGAATAATAACATCCCTTTGCTCTTGGAAATTGAATTAATTTTTGTGTAAAATGGCTTGTATTGTTTCTGCCATCTAACATGGCTCTCATTGCACAAAACCTCTATAGCTGGGGGAGCTTTCAGGCAACTAAGTATCCACCACCTCTGGAAGCGAAATCTTGGATTTTGTCCTTATTGATAGATATCTCAAAAAACTACAAATGCTAGACAAGGTATTTTAGTTTAGAATTAGTCACTATGGATACCCAGTATCGAGCATTTTACAGGTTCCTTGTGAATGGGTATTTCTTTCTACAAAATCTACACACCACTTAAATCAATAAAACACCTATTTTGGACCATTGTTTTGGCCCTTTAATATACATTTAAAAAAAAAATAATAATCAATTACAAGGGGAATTCAAACAGGGACCTACAGCAACAAAATAATATTTAAATATGGTGATTAGTGACAAGTTTTTTACTTACCAATAATATTTCCCCAAGTCCAAGCAAGGTTGAATTGGCATTTTCCACAACAGTATTTGGTTTCTACAACAACAACAAAAAACATCAAAATAAATGGTGTTTACACATCATGGCCAGGTTGTAGGAAGGGCAATGCTTTTATCCAATGAATTTATCTGTCGGATAGTGCTATCCACCCTTCGTACAACCAGGCCCATATACTCATAAGTTATGGGAAGCACGGGCGGCGTAGCGGTGAGAGTGCTCGCCTCTCACCAATGCGACCAGGGTTCGAGTCCCACTGAGCTCGGTGTCGTATGTGAGTAGAGTTGTTTGTTGGTTCTCTCCTGTGCTTCGAGGGTTTTCTGGGTTCTCCGGCTTTCCTCCCTCTGCAAAAATCAACTCCTAAATTCCAATTGGAATTACAGTGAATGAATAGCTACTCTGTAGRAAATGCCACTGTTAAATCCCATTTATTTATTTATTTATTTTTATTTATTTAAAAAAGTTAGAATATAATGTATTACAATAATGGAGTCCACTGATTTGAAATTTATTTAGAAACGTTTCAAAATGACCTTTAGTGAGCTAAAAATAACATGACGAGTTAATGTGACTTATCAAGAGGACTGCCTTCAAAGGTGTTTGGTCAATCTAGTGCCAATTCTGGCCAGACATTGTCTATTGACTGGCCATTTTCTTCTTAGTTAGGCTGCCTTTAGAAAACAGACACTTACATCTTTGTACATGAACAAGGCGACTCCTGCTACAATGAGGAAAACACAAAGGTATTTCGCAAGTGGGTATCTCTTTCGTGCCAGAAGTACTCCAAGAATCATCACTAGAAATCGGGAAAAACAAAATTTTCAATGTTCTGCTTCTTATTCCACAGCACATCATTCCTTTGAAAAACATTTCTTGATTTCTTAGTAATACAATGAGTGCAATTACAAACAAAGGTTAATACTGTATTCCTAATGGAATGTCAAATTCCCAACTTAAGCTGTCCATGGATGGAGTTTTAATTTCATTTATTTTTATTTTCCATTTTTCATTTTTTATTTAAGCCTTTTTTTTCAATTACAATAACGAAAATTTCATTATTTCGTAGTGGCACATGCATGCATGCCAGTAAATTGATTTCCCCCTTAATTTAAGATTAAACTATTTATCATATATACCTGGGATTGGTTTGCATGATTTTCCTAAAACCTGTAAGAAAATAATAATCATCATACTTAATAATATATATCACAGTTGAGCCAACATTTTTATAGATTTCATTTGGGAGGAGGGGGGGGAGGTGGGCATCACAGGCATCCTTTTTCAAACTACTTTAGTCAATGATCATATGAGAAGCACTGACCAGCCTTTATTTAACTAAAGCCAGGCTATGTCTTCATACCTGTGTAGGATAGTTGACCCACTGTAATGCCTTGTTGCTTGCCAACATTGCACCAAGATAAGTGAATGCACATGCTCCATACCATAATGTTGGAGTGCTGTCCTTTTTCTCAGCTGTTTTATATGTCAAGTATATTGCTAAACAGTTCAAACAAAAAAAATACCAGTTATAATGTAATGAAAGATTTTGACTGATGAAATATCCCACACACTACTTGTATGCATTACCATGAGAATCTAATGAAAAATTTGCAAGCTACAATGAAAATTTAAAAAAAAAAATCATGTTTAAGACATTTACAGTATATATATATTTGCAGTTATTATATTTTTTTCATTTTGCAATTGCAAGCAACAAAGAAGCTTGCTTAGCTATAGCTTAGCAATTACAAATAGATTATAGAATACAGTTAACCACAATATCTAATCAGTTTAATTTACAGATATCAACCTACATAATAATTGTTGTGTATAATTATCAATAATATGCCACTGTGAAAAGTGTACCATTGAAAGACTAATTTTCATAAATTTGAGATGTCAATGAAGTCATTAAAAATGTTATTAATAGCTCTTCAAACATCATCCAGATCGAACCACATAAAATGAATGATGCCATCAAATAAATCATGATCAGGAGGTCCTTGAATATTGTAGATGTTTAAGATAATGTCATGGTAGCAAGTTTAATCAAATCAAAGACAYAAGTAAATTTCCCATCAAAAGTACATTCTATTGCACACAGGAGCTACTAATTTTGCAGCTACTTATAAGGAAGCCCAATTAACTTAAATTGACTCTTCGACTTCTACAACTCACTAGCTTCCATTATTAATATATTGAACTAACACTTCAACTCTCTTACGAACGACCGCAACATTTCGGTAGACCTCGCTAGTTAATGTTGTGGTGTAATGTTTTCCCATATTCCAAAACATGGTCTATCTAATAAGAAACCATTATATCACCACCAATAATGTCTACTGATCAATCCATTCATGCTCTCATGCTCCCATGTCTTGCTACAACATTTACTATTGTCACTAACCTGCCTTTGCAAAAATAGCATTAATAATACACTGCATAAATACAAGGATCAAAGCAAACACAAATTTCTCCTTTTGTTCTCCATAGGGAACTCTTGTGCTGCAAGGTAATGAAAAGAATTATCAGTTGAATTTTAACATTTCTGCTATATTCAATATCATTACATCAACTCAGTAGTTAGGAGTTGCAATGTTGGAATCGGGTTTTCACTTACACCAGTCAAAAATATTTCAGATACCAACTGATTATTTTCAATTTCAAATTTCAACCTGAAGTTTAACTACCAAGTTTGCATAACATTGAAAACTGTAGTATAGCTTGCAATGTTCCCAACCACACAAGCAAAATGATATGATTTGGCATCACAACAAAATCCCAACAATCCAACAAAATACCAATGAAATCTCTACGAAAATGCATCTGAGCTGCCWGGACATTATTTTATAAACACTAGTAGCAAAACAAAAATAAAAATAAAAGACACTAGTGCACCTAACTAAAAATCCACAGACTTTCAAAAGGCTATGGAACAGATTTGATTGGGAGTGAGGGAAGAGGGTAAAATTCAAAGCAAATTGGGCACCATACTTCCCTTCATGATAGCTAGAGGTTGGTTTTCTCTTGCATCAGAATTGGTGTCAGTGTCGGAATCAGAGTCATAAGCAGTTAAAGGAAGTGAAAATTGATCATCATAAGAGGAATCGGAATCTGAAGCATAAGCCTCTATTTGATATATTTATGTACATTATATATGTATATATATATATGTGTACTTTTCTAACATCGGATAGATCCTGGAGAAAAGTATATATAGTGATAGGTTGTCTGCTTCTACTTCTGATATTTTAGTCTTCACTTATCATAAGGATCAGAGTTGGAATTAGAATCGGAAGAAAAAGAAAAATTCTTCAGATTTCGATGCTAATATACTTTGTATGACTCTAATTCTGACTCTGTTTTCTGGTTTTTACTTTGTCATATCATGAATCTGATTCCRATGCAAGTCAAAATATCCAACCTTAAATATCGTAAATAGATTTTTTATATAAAAGAAAAACAAGGTAACTCAGTTATTAGCTTTGAATTGGTACCCCTGAGGCCCGGGGGAGGGGTTGGGGTAGGCRCTCTTGCCCGTTTAGGGTATGGATGTGCCGCTGAGCCCTCTGAACCCTGACCCTGTTCCAGATTAAAAATCGCTGAAATTCATACCCTGTTCCAGAGCAAGATCGCTGAAAACCTTGTTCCAGAGAGGAGAGAGCGTGATTTCATATACCCTGTTCCAGAGCGAACGCAATTTTATATACCCTGTTCCAGAGTATAATCGCTGAAAACCATACCCTGTTTGGCAGTTTGCCCATATAGCGAACATAGGGGAGTACCCCCCCTGGCCCTGAGGCAACAAAATAAACCAAATAACGTTACGTTGGTTTTACAAATGTGAATCAAAATATGTAAGTTAAACCTTAAGCTTGCCAATGTTCTAGCACACTATTTTTGTTTAATTCAACAGGAAATCATTGTCATTGCTTAACCTATCCAAGGATATCCAATGTTTTAAAAAACTTTTCATGAGAAAATATAAGGAAAATATACATGGTATTCATTCGTTCATTTATGGGACAAGCTCCCATTTGAGAAGCCATTTCCTTCTCTCAAAAGGCCTTCCAAAAACTTATAAAAAGTTCTAAGATGCTAAAATACTCTCAATTAGCAGAAGAAAGGTTAAGTGAAGTTAAAAAGCGAAGAAAGGTTGAAATACAATACAAATAAAAGAACTAACGGTAGATATCATAGCGAAGTTCCTTCAAATTGAAAAACGTGAATGAAATCACTACCACTTTTTGTCGAACTTACATTTTTTCTTGTATCAATCCGTACACAAAGTACGATACGAAAATCCCTGAGAAGCATAAAAAGAACTGGAGTTGATTAGTCTTGTACGTAGCAGTCATTTTTGATGATCTGTCTGATCTACCAGCTTCTAGATCAAGAGAAAGCATAAAAATGAAAATAAAAGTTTGGATTTGAAGAATGAAACTGCGTTGTGATCCTGATCAACAACCGAGCGTGGTGCAGTACGATTGGACCCGTGTCAGGTGACCGGAAGTAAAGAGGATACCTTGTTAGGGAAACCGCTGGTCGAAGGCAAAGCGGAAGTGGAATGGGACGTACACTTTGGCACGTTTTTGGTGTCATAAGTATTCATGTATTCTAAGTTGATTTTTTTTTTTTTTTTTGCATGAGTTATTTCACAGTGTATCCAAGCGTGGCTTGGAATTACAGTTCCGCCTTTTTTAAGGACAGTTACATTTACATTTTGATATATTTCGTAGAGGGGGTTGGGGG